TTTGTTTGTTTGTTTGTTTTAACCTTGTGAAGAAAATCTTAATTCTGTGAACTTCCTCCTAAACCTCCTGCTTGGAATTGGCTGTGCCAAGGGTAAAGGTGTAGATCTGTCTATTCCTGGGGTCTGTAAGTTTTCTGACCAGAGGCTGCTAGTAGTTCTGGCAAGCCCTATAGTTCATACARTATGAAGTCACAGGGGCTCTTTTGTAGTGTAAACACTTGCTCTGGTATTTTCCAGATGATGGGACAATTTTTAACTTCAATCAGTTATTACTGTAAATAACTGTCTTTAAGGGGAATTATATATGTAATTTAAATTAATTATTTAAGCCACTCTCTGGRGAAACTACAAAGTTAACCCTTGATGTAGTTTTTGCTATGCTAAGAAATTTGGACCCATGTCTTAGGTGTTAATATATTTAAGAAATTATTTGGGGTTGCTACTTGTAAAGTTTCAAATTAACCAACTTCTTCCTTGTTGTTCATGCATTTTTAGTAGTATTCTTGTCTTTGGAATAAAATGTGGGAATTCTTGTTTTAGAGTGGCTTAGAGATAATCCTTAACTACGTTACATTCAGATTTTGGGCTTAGCTATGCCAAAAAYGGAGAGCTGCTAAAGTATATACGCAAAATTGGCTCATTTGATGAGACCTGCACAAGGTTTTATACTGCTGAAATTGTATCAGCCCTGGAGTATTTGCATGGGAAAGGAATAATTCACAGGTAATACGAAGTTGAGACAGATATGCAGTTAATCATGCATGAGGTGTTATTTTTTTTCTAGACATGTTCTTTGTGAAGTTAAAAGCAAAGGTGGATTTTATGGAATGTTAAAGAGCACATAATAGCATTTGATCAGCACTAGTATAGTTAACATCGGTAGCTAAACATAGCAAACTTGAGGAGGAGAGCCAATCACTGTTATACCAACTGTTCAAGCAGGAAAACATAAGAAAACCTTTTGGCCTAGAATTGTCATTACCAAAAGCTTGACTTTCAAGCTTCATCTGTTGGCCTGTAAGCCAGAAACTGACTTTTTTTCAACTGCACTTTTTTTCCTGTGCTGTTATGTAGCAAAAGCAACTAGGATTCTTTTTGTGTCTGTCTTAATGTKTACTATATAATCAAGTAAAATTAATTTATATCAGTTTTCACTGAGTGAACAATTGCCACAAAGCTGCACAATAATTAGGTAAGTGGTGAAATTAGTGAAGTTTTGAATAGCAGTTTCAAAGTTGTTTTGTTGTAATACATTGTTTGGATAATCATATTTTGTCATTCATGTTTATTAAATAAAACTTTAAATGCTAGACATCTGAGCTGCAGAACTTCTTTTTAGGTRAGAAATCTATTGTGTCTGTAGATTACCAAGCAGTTGTCATGGGACACCAGATGCCGGTTGGCAAAAAACTGACTGATTATGATTCTGATAGCATAATTTCTTTCAGTTATTAAAAAACACTTATTTTAAATATAAATTTTTGTGAAATAATTTGAAATAAATCTAAGGGGGCTGAATGTGGAGAGTACTGAAAGCATCAGGTTTTCTAGAGGRGCAGGGGGAAGTTTAAGAACTCCCAGCTTCACTTTGATTTTACAGTCCATGTGTTTATGCTGAGAAAACACTTATAAAATGAATGTAACATGACTGTTAGTGTTACTAAGCCTTTATTGGAAACCCTATATTGCAGAAGAGCTGCTTTATCCTTGTCTTTATGAAAGACCCTATGAGGAGCTCAAAAGAAAAGAGTGAAATTGTGCAATTAGAGAGCTTCGTATGAAGTTTGAGGCCACAGCTCTAGCAATGTCTGAAAGCTCTTGGGATGTTCTGCTGCCTGAAGAAATAGGACATGAGATAGAACCACTTTAAGATGTCAGACTACCCTGGAAAATTTATTRTGGATAACTCTCTCTGTATCTAGATATATAGCTATAGATCCATAATACAGTATTAATGTGGGTATAGGATATATTATATAAACAGTATAAATGTGCATGGAGTACAGTATATCTACATACATATGTATTTAAAAAGCCCTACACAGAACTGTTAAAAAGGTCCATTCCATTCATGTTCTTTTAACTTCTCTCTTAGAATAGGTACAGGAAAATCAATAGGATTTTTATGGCTTCTTTCCATTTGCTTTCTGTGCTAGTTTCCAGACTTTAAAGTGTAGAATTCATGCTTTTTCATAGTTAGGAGCTTTAATSTGAAGAAAACAATTCTGCACAGTGATTGATGGAAACAGCTGTCAGTTTTCACTATTTTTTGTCTTACCAGTCCAACAATACARCTCCCATGCTCCTAGTTTTCTTCATGAGCATTCAAATATACTGCTTAGGAGGGAAGTATGACTTTTTTTTTGATCAGCTGAGGAAACTTGGTGCAAAGGAATATCATATCAGTGTAACTAAATGCTCTTAAATTGTTGCTAATGCACCCCATGACCTCTAACTCTGTATCACTGTCTATTTTGTTTGTGATACTGGGAGGTGTGGTTTTATTCAGAATCAGAGGAGGTGTCTTTGCAAATTGCAGCCATACATTTGAAATGCAAGTTAYACATTGAGGTGGTCTCTGATTGTCACCTGGTCAGGACAGTTATCTGGGGCTGTTTCACAGTGTTTGACTAACTGTCAAACAGTCCAGAGTTTTGCACTGAGGAAACAGATCTAGAAGATCTTAATGCCATATCAATCTGTCAGATGTTATTTAAATTAAGGCTTTGGAGTTTTGTGTGTGTTTTTGTGAAGTGGAATTTTTTTGGGATTTATTTGGGTTTTTTGTTTATCTGTTTGTTTTTTAAAATTTTTAGAAATTGTGACACGTGTAGTTATGAGATAATTTTTTACTTGATACTTTAAAAAGTGTTAATAATAGACTTAGCAAAATCTCTAAGGYTGCAGGTTGACAGCTACAAGTTAGCGAAATTGTTGTAACAATGTTTATAGAAGATCTGCATCATTTATTGTGTCATTACTTAACCTAAGTCACTGGACAGTTTTGCAACTTTATTTTGCATGCTGTTTAAATGTAAAAATTCTTTTTTTTTTCAGGGACCTTAAGCCAGAGAACATCTTATTAAATGAAGATATGCACATTCAAATAACAGACTTTGGAACAGCAAAAGTATTATCTGCAGATAGCAGACAAGGTTTGCCATTATTCAATACGTGACACCAATAATTATAGCAACTGATCCTTCRAAAATGTACATATGTTGTATTTACCAAATTGTAACCTTCAAATATCATTRCCTCACCTGAATCAGTGAAAGATCTCAAAAGAGTTTTGACTGTCACTACTTAGATTGTGTCAGAAGAGGTAATATTTGTGTAGTGGTATACCAGCTAGATTACAAAATATAGTGGGGAGTTGAACTACTTCAGATTACTTAGTTTTCATTTGCAAGACAAGAATAAGGTACCATGGCTAACCTGATACAGTAAGTTTTACTCTGTGTGTTTAACTTCAGTGGCTGTCAGAATTGCACAAATGTGAAGGTTATAGAATTCATGTGGTTTTAGTTGTTGGTAATAGCCTGTAAATAGACACTGCGAACAACACCTGAAAAAAGCACTAGGTTGAACTGAATTAGATATTTTTTTTTTCTCTTGACTGTAGCAAGCTTGTTTTGGTAGATTTTATAACCAAGTACCTAAATGCCTAGCTTCTTGAACAAGATAGGTATCACTGAGATTGATTTGTTTYTTCCAAGCAGATTTTGTGGATAGGTATAGAGAAATTGAATTCTTACGGGTTCTTCGCAGCATTATGTACCTTGCAACGGATTGCCTTTGGGTTTTTTTTTTAAAGTGGGTTGGGACCTGGAAGGAAGGGGAAAATTGGCTTATCCATAAATATGTGTTTTGCTTAATTTCTTTCTATTCCTTAACAGCACGGGCAAACTCATTTGTAGGGACAGCACAGTATGTTTCTCCAGAACTGCTGACAGAGAAATCTGCCTGTAAAAGGTGAGGATTATATTCCAGAACCTTTTCTCTTTTTTTTTTTTTGTCTTAAATCAAATATTTAGAGGATAGTATTTTAATTCTGAAGGGGCATATATTGAATTAAGTTGGATGCAGCTTTGAATTATCTTATGATAATTGATATTCTTTTCAGAATCATTGCATACCCATTATTTTGACTGAGAATTCATCTGTTTTCTGCTTGTGCTTGTAGTCAGTTATTGTGGAATTGTTACTCTACAGTTTTTTCTTGAAAGTTGTGCTGTTAGCCTACACTTCTGTCAAGGGCTGAAGTGAAAATTGTGCATAAATTATTCAAAGCAGGTGTGTCCACTGAGTTCATGTGATGTTCTAAGTAGTAGAAGTTTAAGAATTTTTCTTTTAAAATTACATTTTAAAGACTTCTTTTACAAAAAGATCCTATGTTTTTTTCTCTTTGTTTTGAAGCTCTGACCTCTGGGCTCTGGGATGCATAATATATCAACTTGTAGCTGGATTGCCTCCATTTAGAGCTGGGTAAGAGATTTGAGCTAATTATTAACATGTGGATCATAAATATATTGTCTCTGGTTTGACTTTTACCTTACTACCAGTTTTGAAGTATTTTCATGATGCAGTGTTGATGTTCATGTCATGCCTGCTTTTTTGTTCTTTTTGATGTCATGAAGTTGCTTAGACAGCTATTATTAGTTCCTSAGAGAGATTCCTTMAACTATYCTAGAATTCCACATTTGTGCCTTGWAGATAACTATGTAACTATGTGTGAAGAGATTTATAAGGSATATCCTCAATTCTCTCTGTTGAGAAACTGGAACTTTTCTTGTTGGTGCTTACAGAATCATAGTACCCCTTCACCCTAGGAGGATTTATGGAAATGTGACTTGACTTGTACATTTCTTGTTTCATTTTGTCTGAGTTATTCAGGTTAGGTAGAAAGAACCATGGAGGACTAATAACAAGACTTAATATTCTTCTCTTTTGCAGAAATGAATATCTTATATTCCAGAAGATAATAAAGTTGGAATATGACTTTCCAGAAAAATTTTTTCCCAAGGCAAAAGACCTCGTGGAAAAGCTGTTGGTAAATATTTGTGGTTTTTTTCCTTGAATTTGTAACTGACCAAATGCCTAACTTCTTGAACCAAAAAGGTATCACTGAAAATGATAAGCCATTAAATGGGTTGGTGACATTGGAAACATTCAGCTTATGTAGTTCKCTTTCCTGGAATTTTCTATGCACTYTTGCAGATATTATAATATGAATGTCTGTGAGTACTCTGTAGGGGAGTGTCTTGAAAATCAACATGTGTTACTAAACAGTGCTTCAATTTTTTTTTTAATCTGAATTCTAAAGTGTGGACAAGGAATGTCTTTCTATGAAATGGAAGCAAACAATTCTAGATATTGTGCATTTACAACCAGAAATTAAGATTCAAATCCTTAGGCTTACTTAGTTCTCAGATTAATTGTTTTTGAGTTTTATGATTTGTATAATGGATCATTTAGTTGAAAACAGCGTTCTGTACATCACAGGTAGATATATTCATTACAATATAAATCCAGCTGCCTTCCATTTTAGCTTGCATTTACCTTGCATTTAATATGTCTCAGTAGTATCACCCTAAGAATTATTCCACCTGTGAAGGTTTGACAAGTAGGCAGAAAAAGTAGTTCTGTTCCATCAGTGAGGTTATAGCCATGACACTCAGGTGAATATGCAGAGAGCATTTTAGGTGGTGTAAGCTTTTTTAAGTTCAATAGTCTATCATAGCTGAGGAGGAAACACCTTTGTGGGTGGTGATAAATACAACCTAAAAGGTCTAGCAATGGGTTCCTGTGTCCAAGGACTGTAGCCAATCCAGTGTCTCCTGAATTGTGAAGTCCAGGTGGTATTAACATCCTTAAGAACTGTCATTTTAAGGTACTTGAGAGGTTGATGTTTGGCACCAGTTATAGTTTCCACAGCTTCTTGCATCACTGGAGTGGGGTGGTGGACTAAACTTAAATGAGGTGTGCTTCATCAGGCCTTCTCTGTTTGTTTGCTTCAGTCATTATGAAGCAGCAAAGCCAAAAACTTTAAACTTTTTTTGTGTATTTAAAGAAGTTCTCCTGTCCTTAGATCTGTGAGCTGATCTAATACAAAATGTTGTTGACAAGATATACTGACAAATAACATCTTATGAACAGCCTCTTTATATTACAGATATGTATGCTTAGGGCAGTGGGACAAATTGTTTTTATGCTTTCACATGCTGCTATGCAAATGTGAATAATGCTCGCCCTCCATCATTATTCTATGCAGCTTAACTTAATTTTAATTTGCCTAGGTTCTAGATGCTACCAACAGATTAGGTTGTGAAGAAATGGGAGGATATGGACCTCTTAAAGCTCACCCCTTCTTCGAATCCATTGTGTGGGAGAACCTACATCTTCAGACACCCCCTAAACTTACAGCATATTTACCTGCTATGTCAGAGGATGATGAAGACTGTTATGGAAATGTATGTGTGTCTATTGCTACATTCAGCTCTGATGCTGGCTGAGGCTTACATTATAGCATAATTATTGAATATTAATATAAATAATATAAATATTAATATGAACATTTTTAGTGACACTACTAATTAGTTATATTTCAATGAAGACTTTAATTACTAAGACTCTAATAAAAATTGCTGATTTAAATGTTACTCAAATCAGCATTTGTTTTCTGAAAAAGGGAGTGTTTTGGAAAAATACTGGCTGGCTTGCTTTTGATCAATCATACTTTTTGCATAAATGTTTGCTGATCTATAGGGACTAGGCTGGGTTTTTTTTACCCAAAAGCAAAATAAACAAAAGCATGCTTAAATTGAAAGCCAAATTATTTAGTGCAAAATAAGCTTTTTGATAAAAGACATGTAATTACTTCATTTTGTTTCCTCCTTTAGTATGACAATCTCCTGAGTCAGTTTGGTTGCATGCAAGTTTCTAGTTCTGCCTCTTCCCATTCACTGTCTGCCGCAGAGACAAGTACACCACAGACATCAGGAGGAAATATTGAACAGTATATTCATGATCTTGACAACAATTCCTTTGAGCTGGATTTACAGTTTTCTGAAGATGAAAAGAGGTTACTTCTGGCAAAACAAGCTGGTGGAAATCCTTGGTATGATTTTTGAATGTAGTTAACTAACTTGTACAGCAATAAAGAATCCTGAAAAATAAGTGATTTTGATTCAAATTAATATTTGATAATCTTAGTATTTTCAAGTTWACAATTAGCAACTAGATTTTTCTTGGCTTCTATTTTTAAAGCAATAGCAGCAAAACCCTAATATTATATTTCTAAAATTTACAAGGTCTAGAAGATGATGTGGAGTGTGTTTATAAGATAGGCAGAATGACGCTATCCAGTGCTGAGGAGTCTTCGCTCTACAGTCCTAGAACTAGAAAAGGTTCCTCATTTTTTACAGATGCCATAAATTGTTGGGATTTTTTTGCATGATAATACTCTGTGGATGTCTAACAAAATGCCTCCAGACTACGTAACAGCATTTTTTTTCACTCTTTAGACAAGTCTYTCATGTGTGAATTTTTGTTGTTTGTTTGGGGGGTTTTGGTGTGTTTAGGGKTTTTTTGGGGGGTTGGTTGGTTTGTTTTGCGTTTTTTGTTTGTTATTTTGTTGTTGGTTTGTTTTGGTTTTGTTCATTTTTTTCTTTTGGTGTGGGGTTTTTTTGGTTTGTTTTTTGGTTTTTTTTTTTGTTTGATTAGGGTTTTGTTCTGTTGGTTTTTTTACCCTGTGTCAAATTTTAGAAGAAACTCTCTTGTCTGGGCTGAGGAAGATTCCAAAACTAGTGTACTAAAGTTGTTCAGGATTCGTGTGGAAAAGGACGTACTAGGAAGTGATATGAAAAACTGCTTGATAATAACAGCTGTTTCTGTGAAAGAATTACTTCTAGAGTAATAGTTATTTTTCTTTTTCTAAGGCATCAGTTTGTAGAGAATAACTTAATCCTAAAAATGGGTCCAGTGGACAAAAGAAAGGTAAGGGCTTTTCTTAATTTCCTCTAACCAGATTCAGTTGTCAAATTTTTTGTAGATAAGCAACCTGTTTTAAAGCTTCCTTGTTTAAACAGTTTGTCACCTACAAACAAGTTATTTTTAAAAATTTAGTGTTTTCTTGTGAATAGTTTTTTTTTTTCTTGATTTAGTGATGTGCTCTTGATTTCTTGGAAAAGCGAGAAATAAATCTGCTATTGATGCTTTCATTTTGAGATTGTAGCAAATTAGTGTTTGCTTCCCCTCTTCTTCCCAATCTGATATAGTTCACTAAACACTCGTTCTTGACAAATGTCTGCATGTGGTTTGAACCAAAAATCCCCCAAAAAATAAAATACAAGCCCATGTTGTTCTCAACTGTGGTGTTTTTCCTGGATCTGACTYGGTGCCTTTATCCCAAAAGTGGCAGAGGTGCCATTAGAACAGCCATTAATGTTAACTTTACCTTAGTATATAGATAAGCAAAGACAGTTTGCATCAACTCCACAGGAAAGAAGGTTCTCTTTCATCTAAGTTACTACTTGCTTTTTCATAGTCTTTTCTACACGAACATGGCTATTGATTTCTGTGCTGGAATCTTTGARAAATAGATTCTGCTTCACTCTGTATAGCTAGGTGTTATATGTTTTGCTAGAATTTGAAGATACTTTGCTAAAATAGTACTTGGATTTGCCATGTAGTAGAAATGCACTGCAACACCCTAAAACAGGAGTGAGGTCAAATAAAGTCAAATTAAAGCCCTCCAAATCCAAACATACCATCCTATCACTGAGCTGGTTTTATTCTGCCTCAGCTGTTCAGTTCAGATATCTGTACATTTACATTTTTAATTCCTTCATGCTTTTTTTTAATGTTTTGTTTTTGCATTGCTTCTTCTACTTTTCTTTTAGGGATTGTTTGCACGTCGGCGCCARTTGCTGCTCACAGAAGGGCCCCACCTGTATTATGTAGATCCTGTCAACAAAGTTCTAAAAGGAGAAATTCCATGGTCTTTAGAGTTGCGTCCAGAAGCCAAGAATTTTAAGACATTTTTTGTTCACACGGTAAGTTTCTTTTTTAAATTTCTTTGTAAATTGCTCCAAGGTCCTTGGGCAAATTTTGTAAGTAGTTCCCAAAAATATTTTTCTGGAGAAAGTGTAACTGCTTAGATACAAAAATTCACAGTATTGATTTAAAACATAGCTATACAAAATCTGAACAATGTGAACGAACCAATAAAAGAACARAACCCACACCCCTAAACAAAATCAAATAAAGCAGAAATCACAAGAAAACTTACCCTGATGCACACATTTATTACAAAAATGCAACTGTATTTTTATTATTAGTGYTTAAATAGACTATGAGTGGATTCTGGGATTTGAAGGGATTTCTTAAGGACTTTTAAAATTTAGCCTCTCAGTGTGTAGTGAATCATGAGAGGTGTACTGATAATATATTGTCAGTTGACTGCTTAACAATATTCAGGTGCCACATRTATGGTTAATCAGTAACATATAATGTTATATAGTTCTAATTCAATTTAACTWTCAGAAAGTTAATAAATTAATTCAGAATAATTGTTTTATTCATAGWTGCAGAATTACTACTTCTTTTTGATTAAACTGTGTTTGGAGTAATCATTAAAATGTTGTTCAYTTATAGCCAAACAGGACATATTACCTGATGGACCCAAGTGGGAATGCTCATAAATGGTGCAAAAAGATACATGAAGTTTGGCGGCACAGATACCACCAGAATGCTGCAAAATAGTAAAGCTCATCCAAAATTTCCCAGTTTCCCTACTTGCTGCTAGAACTCCGTGTGCAGCCGATCAGAGGAATCTTTTCAACCCATCTATTACCATCTCAAGGGGAAGCATACGTCTGAAATGTTTGTGGTTTTTTTGTTTGGTTTTTTTTTTCTTTTTTTTGTTTTTTTTTTTTTTTTTTTTTTTGTTTTTTTTTTTTTTTTTTTTTTTTTTTTTCTTTTGTTTTGGCTTTTTTTTTAAAGAAGGAAAAAAAAAGAAGAAAAGCAAAAACCTAGTGGAATTCAGGGTTGCTTTGCTCGCTCTTTGTGCTTCTGTTGAGGCTTCCACATGCATATCATTGCAGTGAAGATCTTGCTTTTGTGCACTTCAGTTCAGTTTCTGCTGCAGACTAGTGGATAGACCTTGCATTACCAGCTTCACTTAAGATAAGTTAAAACCAATCCACACGCACACATGCCGAATCATGTACCAGCCTTGCATTTCATGGGGCTGGAGTTATCCGTGACTCTCAGATTATCATTAAACTGTGTTTCATCAGGGAGCTTTTGTATGCCTCTCCTAAGTACCACCTCTTTGTTTTCTTCCTTTCCTCACAGTTCCCCAGCTTATTGGTATATGGCATTTGTAGCCAGGTCAGTTGCACCCTTGTGTAATTCCTAATATAGTTCTGGTTGCAGGATTTATGTGGTACTTTAGTAATTATGTGAATGAATCAGATGTGTTTGTCTGGCAGACAGGCGCCAGTGATAAAGGTTTTGAGAGAGTAAAATGCTGAACATGGCACTGAAATTTCTAAAATTGAAATGTTGGCTTCTGAAGCATTTTAAACATTAAGTTTAAATTTTAATATAAGTTATATGTGTGTTTAATCAAGGGACGATAAACTTACCAGCATGCTTTTAAGTAATGCTAACTAAAAGAGAAACTAGTTAGTATGGGGGAGAAAAGGTTACTATTGAAATAGTAAGTAGTTTTTCACCTTTTCAGCAGATGAGGGCTAGAAGCTATCTTTCCAGGGTGTACATGTGTTGTGCATTTTAGTGGGGCCAGCCTATTTACCTGGGTAGAGAAGGAAGCGTGAAAACTTTGTACAATTGATTACTTGAGTTTTATTTTTGTCTCATTGTATGATGAGATGTCAATTCTATTTTTGGTCCTTGGCCAAACATTCAGAAACTCTGAAAAAAATGTAAGCATTTGAAATATAGATAATAAAGTAATCTGGTTAGAAAATCAAAGGCAAAWATTGATACAAAGGGGAAAATGTATGGTACTTAAAGCATATCTATAAAATGAAAATATTTTTCATATCGATCTCCTTTGTCCTCTTGAAATTATGACTATTCTTGGTGGTCAAACATTTCTTGTAGTGTTACAAAGACACAACTTCCTGTCTGCTAAAAAAAACTTCCCCAATGGTATTTTCAACGTGCCCGTGTTCCTAAACCTTGCAGAGAGGGATGACCTCGGTCTGGTCAAAGGCATTCCTTCCTTGTTTTAAAAGCAATATAAATATCACACCTATTTATTCACTCACTACACATACCATCACTTTGCATTTTGAGTTGTCATTATGATGTGCTTTTCCTTCCACCAAAGAAAGGTTTCACTACAATGTTGAAAAACTCATAGGCTACTATTTTCTAGAAGCAGTATTTTAAAAACAATGGCTTATTGGATTTCTCAGAAAACACATGGTTGTCAAATATTTTCTTGTACAGGGTGAAGGAGTTTTATTATTGATCTCTTAAAAACTTGAGTTATGTGGTTAATTTGATGGCAGTGTAGCTTTTCTGGTCTGTAAAAGAAACAGTGCAGTTGCCTTTAATTTTGGAGCAACTGCATTCTAGTCTTCTGTATCCCACCATCTACAGAAACTTGAGAGAAGCAAATCCCTGGCTTACAGTGTCTGGTGTAAAGGGAGAGAAGGTGTCCTGTAAATGGCCGAGATATGGAAGTTACGAAAGTGTTCCCTTTGCATCATGAGAAATTTCAACACATACAAAGTACACTCCTCGTCACTCAAATTTGAATAGCACAGCGCACCTTTGCTCTGTGTCTGTAGTAAGCTGTATGTGCCTTTCTAACCAAGATTACATGTATTTTAAGTTTGTTGCAGTGCTGTTCTCCACCTGTCAAGTTCCAGCCATGTGTTGTGTCCGCTGGAGGCAGGCCTGCCACTTTTGCATTTAGTCTCTGATTTAGTGATGTAGACATATTCCCAACTTTATACAGGAGAGTTTGGCAGTGATGGAGATTCATGGTGCCACTGCTGTTCAGTGTGGCAAAACTTGGCCTCACATAAAAAGTCTGGTAAAAATGACCTCCATTGGCTTGTTAACTAGGTAGAAATCTAGGTGTGCTTAAACATGTTTTCAGTAATATTTAGACTTCAAGTCATTTTACCATAGCAAATTAATTGCTATGTTTTATCACACCTTGAAAATCTTTTCTCAGACTTCCATCCTGTCACTAAAGCTTTTAGCCAGGCAGATATTGGTAAGCAGTAAGCTAAGTCAATAAGGTATCTAGAAAGCTGATGTCTGCATTCTAGAGTTCCTTTTTTTTTTAAATTGACAATGCTGTTCTTAGAAAACTCTGAGCATCTRTTACAGGCATCACTCCACTTAGAACTTCAGTGTTTCTAATCCAGTCTTGCTTAGCTACTGCTTTTTTGGGAAGAAACTAGAACTTTCCTGGGAGAGGTATTTCTACTTCTTGGCCAATATGTGCAATCTGTGGTTTTGAAAGGTGGCAGGAGTATAGAGTGASGCATCACAAAGCAATCATGGATTCAAGTATGTTTTACCAGTTTGTCCACTTAAATGTGTATTGACAGGTTCTGCATACTATGAAGGGTTGGTACCCATTTTAAATGCTTTTACCTGATGTGGGGTAGATTCATATCTTTGTCCTGAAGATCACTCCTGTGGTTCATGGGGGTTCGTGGAATGAAATGTGCAAGGGAAGTTCTTCAGAGCTGCACATAAGTCAGGTGATTTTTCTGCTTTTAATCCAAGGTTTTCAAAGTATAAAATAAAGTTGTTAGGTACTTGAAGACTCTTTTTAAGATTCCTCCTCACTTCAGACCTACTGAAAACCCAGTCTGTTGACTCATTCCATCTCTTGCAATTTGAACAATTGCCACTCATTTATGAAGAATATGGTCAATAATGTTGTAGTTTTGCTTTCCTTGGTATTTGAACATCTGAAAGTTATTTGTTTATTCCATCTTTTTCTGTGGTGTGGAGCATAAGAAAGGATGAAATACTACTGCCCAGTCACAGGAAGTTTAAAACTACCTTGATAAACTGGAGAAATTAGTTTGTTACCATTTGCCTTAAAGTCCGGTTTTGTAAACATTTTGYATTAAGGAAGAGTTGCTTCAGATATGATGTTGAGGCATTATAAGCAAATTGATATTGCCTATTATGATTCCATCTGCTAAGCACTTAGATGCTGGAAAAATCAAACTATCAGACAGTACTGTGCTCTACTTTTCTCATTCTGACATGACTTAATTGTGAAGTATCTGCTATATATAAGTCTGGAAAGAACTGTGGATTGAAACAAAGATGTGATGATTCTAATCAGTTTTCATAGTTGAGGATGCTTAATTTAATGTGTTTGATATCATTATATTTTGTGCTGGGAGCTTTGAAGAATTATGAGAATTTCCCACATGTACATTTTCTTTTGAATGGTTTAGTAAAGTTGAGACAATTACTTAATTTGGCCCAYTGACAAAACATTTGATTCCAACACCTTGCTGAGAACTTGTGGATTAATAGTTGCCTGAAGGTGTGGCCTCTGCATTCTGATCATTCATTTTACTAGTAAATTGCACAAATAGGTGTGGTATTTATATCTGAAATTTTGCTGAATGCCTATAATGCTTTATGGAAATATTTTATTGATCAAATGGAAATACTCCTGCAAAGCCTCATGATGCAGATTGTCCATCAGCTGGTCAAGTGGGGTTTCAGACAAGTAGTTCTATGACCCAAAATGACATTTTCATTTAGAYTAGTAATTTCAGAATGTTTCCTCTTTCATAGAACTCCTATTATGCAACAAACAGGTGGAGAGGTTCTTAAGCACCTAATAGCCTGGTTTTAGAAAAAAAGAATATACTGAGTTGGAAAGGACCCATCAGGGTCATCAAGTGTAACTCCTGGCCCTGCACAGGACTCCCCAACAATTCCACCAGACATCTTGAGCTCAGACAGGCTCGGTACTGTGACCACTTCCTGGGGAGCCTGTTCCAGTGTTCAGCCACCCTCTGGGTGAAAAACCTTTTCCTGATACATAACCTAAACCTCCCGTGACTCAGCTTCATGCCATTTCCTCSAGTCCTGTCCCTGTCTGTCAGCAGGGCCATGAATGTAGATGGTTGCCATTTGACAAAGCTTCCTATGGCCATGTACTAACTCTGATGTGATGTGGCGAATGTTCAAAATGGTAGCAGAACTTAAAATAACTGTATCTGACAAGAGATAAAAAATAAGAATCAGGAACCATAATCAGTTTTGATAGTTGTATGCTGTTTTCAGGTTGATGGCAGTCAGTTACATTTGTAATATGCTCTACCTGGGTTTGTAGCTGTAACTGTGATGTACAGAAAAAAAAAGAAAAAAAAAAATACTTATCCCAAACCAAACCCCTGAYGCCCCTCAACCACCCACAAAACAATCTTCCCTCCTCCAAGAACTCGTGAAAACAGAAGCAAATAATGCAATGATATACACACTTTTGTATTTTTATTCTTATGAGGTTATTTGCTGGCTCTTGTTGGCCTCTAGTTCAGTCTGTGTTATTTAAATTCTAATATATGAATTATTTGGATTGAATTCATGTTCGGGGCCATGGTGTTGTATGTATTGATGTACAGCCTTGAATGTGAATAATTATTGTAAACTATATTTTACACCTTTTTTCTGGCTTTATTATATAAATTTTCTATTGGTCGATGATTTAATCATATCTCATAATTTAATGACTGTTTATTCTCCTCTCGACAGATCTCTGTGCTGTAGATGTGTAGTTAGTGACTGGATGACGGATTTCACTTATGCTTGGTAGTCTGTAATAAAGGCATGTAGGGTCCTGCGCGGCCTCCGCCTCTTCCTTGGGCCGTGGGGCGGGGGGCGCGGGGCACAGGAGCCGGGCTGTGTGCCTCCTG